ACAGAAATTTCAAACATGAGGATTAATTATACACATAATTAACATACTAATTCAAGCTAAAATCACTAAAACTTCAGAGTTCAGCAAATCACTAGCAATCCAAAGATATATACTAACCTAACTTAACCTATATCACAAAAATTAAGAATTGCACAAATTCATACACAAATTAAAGCTAAAATCACAAAAACAAACATCATGAAAGACCAAAATTAAAGAAAAAGGAAGGGGGGGAAGTTTGAACTTACTGGTGGAAACGATCTTGCATTGAGAAGGAACAGAAATAGGAGGAGGAATTGAGAAATTGGAGAAGAGTAAAGCGAAGAAGCCGAAAGTATAGGAGAGAGAAATTATGCAGATGAGCATAAACCCTATCTTTCATAATATTTATGCTTTGAGAAAATAAAGTGAAAATTACATCAAGATCAACATGAAAATCAGACCAAATCAATCACACATTGAATTAAGCACACACCATGAATTAAACTTATGTAAACATAGAAACATGTTGAGGTTAGCTTAGTAGTTAGAATTCAATCTTCCTAAAAAAGTTCGTAGGATCAAATCCCGGAATTCTTAAAAGGCAGCCATCAAGATTTAAGCATATAGATTTTATACACTGCTCCTTAACCCAACTAATCTACAAAAATGATTATATTATGAACTCAGCGTATTCAAATCCACAGGAAAAAAAATAATAATAAATCTTCCTGACTAAACAAAGGGTTAAAAAAAAAAATCAACTGGTTTCTAATTTATCCCCTTGTTTGATGGTAAATATAGATCATGACCATTCTAAACTCGTAAGCAAATATTTACAAACCAAGTAACACAACAAATTTTTGATCCAGATAATACTACCACTATGGCCCACACGGTTTCCAAAATGTAGTCAACATATTTATGCAATCAACACAGTCTAGAAAACATATTTGCATCAACAGAGTAAACTCATACAAATTCAAACCTTTCACTTGCACATATACATAATTCCATAAATAAAAATTCCATAATATTACGGGTCTGGATAGCATAATTAAATCACCTGAGAAAATTTATACCTGAGTACTATTTTAAAATAAGAAAAATCAGTTGAAAGAAAGTTAGAAAACTTGAATGGAAAAGTGTCACATAAATTTTAGAAAGGGATAGAAGGGATGGAGAGTCTGATTACATAATTCCTGTGATCTGATTCACAGACAAGTGGGCCAGTATATGATATTCCGGCTGGGAAAAGGGATGGAAGAGTCTCTTTAGCTTCAGAGGTGCTACGAGACATCCCTGCACCCTCAATGAATGTTGACCAACTCACACAGAGCTTTTACAGAAATCTGACACAGGAAGAAATGGTCACCCTATCAGGTATCAACAGTGAGGGTGAATTTATCTTTAACTATGATTGGACTTTCACACAGAAATATGCCTGGCCTTCCACTTTCAGAATTTACCGAAAGTCAAAAAATAATGTACTATTCAGTTACGAGTCAGGACTTAGGAGTCCCAACACAAAGTAGTCAGTCAAATGATGTTTCCATCTAAAGGTCCTAATAAACAACTTTTAGTTTTCAAGCAGAACCAGCAATTAGATAACATTCTTATTAACTCTTCGATGTTAGCTATCCAGTAATAAACTAGCTAATAAAATCCAAATCCATTTTAGCTAGTCATGACAGGTTTTGAATAGCTATCAACAAACACAAAGGTCGAACTGGGTTTTCTAGGTTTAAAATTATCCAATTTATACCAAAGTTCATTTGCCTGAATAAGTCTTGAACAGTTGAGCTTGAACACTTGAACCTAAGTCCCTAATCTATTGAGGACCTTAATCTGACATCAAATTCATAAACCCACTCATCATATATACAAAGCCACCCAAGCTTTAAGCCACAAGCTCAAGTTGGTCACATAAATTTCACAATTGATTTCAGCATCAAGATACCAATTCAGCAATATAATTCATTTCCACCAGGTAAAAAAGAGAGACTTGACCTGCAGTCCTACATATATTGGTGGAAAGCAGCAGAACTGCAGTTTTAAGTATAGGACTAACAGAAAAATGCAGCCTAGCTTTCTGAGAGACTTCATCTCAAAGACTCCGTAATTCTCAGGACACTATAGAAAACTTCGATAATTCTCAGCATAATCAAGGAAATTGACACCTCAGAAACTTCATCTCAAAGACTCCATAATTCTCAGCATGAAAAAATTAGGTGCCAAAGGAGCAAGCTAAGTCAATCCTTGATTATTACATTCAACTAATTCTTCATAGCATGATTCTTCAGATTAATTAACACAGAAAAATTCAAAAACACTACAAAATTCTACAAAAAAAATCAACTAAAATTTCACAACAAAATGCAAAAATCAAACATTAAAGATGAAATTAAGAAAAAGAGGAGGAATTCGAGAAGAAAACCTAGAGAATTCAACGGTTGTGAAATGAAATTAAGCAGCGTCTTCTGTAAAAAAATATCGAACTGTATTGTTAGTTTGGTGGGTATTAAGAGAAGAAAGGAGAAGGTAATTGATGTCTTAATTTGGAGGCGATTTGGGACCCAACCCCAACATCAGCCTCCACACTGACCAACCCCACCCAACGCCTATGAACCCATCCATGTCAGCTCATGTGAGATTGTTTGTACTGTAATAGCATAACATTATATTATGGCAAAAATCCAAATTAAATAGCTTTCAATAAAAATACCACTATTGATGATTGATGAATTTCTCTAATAAACGCAACAATGAACAGAAATTAGTCCTTGCAATACATTGGTATGATCGTCAGAATTACAGCTTCATGAGAAGCAATCAACCAAACGATGATTACTACTCAGATAATAAGATCATCTATAGTAAAATCCGAAAGCGAAATAACAGAAACCAAGCTCAACTTTTGTACTGGTGTACTAACTTATTGTTCAATGCTTATTCTACAAAAGAAACCTACCATAACACTAACCAAAACCCAAGTTTATTCGCAGCACTAGCAAAAAAAACAACCAAATCCTCAGAGAAAGTTAAATTGTCATATGACAAACACATTAGCAATCACTGATTATTATAATCATCTTCCTCAATTCATCCAACTGCAAAAATTCAACTGTTAATACTACAAAACACTTAACCAATAACAACAGATTATACCATTAATAGTTGACTAATTGGCAACCAACTTCTCCTTCTCATCCCCATCATCCAAACCCGAACCCACGGCCGCGGGTGTCACACTCTGCGAGCCAGTCAACCGTGCCAACACAACAAAAGACATCCCACCAAGCACATTATTCAAACACCTCAGAACAACAACAGACGACTTAAAAACAACCGGCGACGTAGCCTTTGCCAACAAAAACTCAACCCCATTCAAAGTCTGATACCTCAAGTTGCTACTAATTAGTCAAATACCCAGATCATATTTCACGCTACTAATTAGTCAAAAACAGCAAATTTGATGAGAAAATCCACTTCAAAATTAAAAAACAATGCAAACCCAGATCATAATTTTTGACAAACGGAACAAAAATCAACAAAAAATAGATGAAAAAAAATTAAAGAGTAGAGTACCAACAATAAGAACAAGACGTTTAGCAGGAGAAGAAAAGCAGAACCAAAGATTCGAGCAGCTAACTTCAACAGGTAAGTCAAGTATTCCCAAATAAACCCCTAAAATAAATTAGGGTTCATAAATCGAAAAACCACCACAACAACCACCCTCAAGCAAGCAATCAGCCACATGCAACATTCAAACAAATCAACAAATCTAAATCGAGCAATCAGCCACATGCAAGGTTCAAACTAAAATTAAATACAAAACAAAATCAACAAATCCATAATTGGTAGACAAAAATTCAAGGTATACCTACCTTAGATAGAGATTCGAGCACAGCAGAACGAAACGGCGAGGGAGGAGAACGAAGCAACGGCGGCGAGGTAGGAGAACGAAGGAAGGAGAGGCGGCGAGGGAGGAAAACGAAGGAAGACTGAGAAGTTTGGGAAATGGGGTTTCAATTTAATTTTTGGCTCTAATATTTCAGCATTTCCCTTTTTTTTTTTTATTTTTTTTTTTTACTCATTCGTTGTATTAGGTCTTATTCTTTTTTCCCTTTTTTTTTGGGATGATCCGTTGGATTAGCTCCAACTGAAAAATAAAAAAAAAAAATTCGGGAACACTATCCGTTGTGTTAAAAGAATAATCCGTTGGATTAGCTCATCTAATACAACAGAATAGTATATCTTATACAACGGTTAGTATAAATCGTTGTATTAGCCTTGTTTTAGTGTAATACAACGGATTAGCCTAGTCTAATACAACGGTATGAAATTAGCCGTTTATTAGCTATTTTTGAACCGTTGCATTAGATAAAAAATGTAGTAGTGTGATGGATATTTTTGTAATTTGCGGCTGATGGTGTTAACTTCATCCTACTTCCTTCATCTTCCTCTTGCTTCCTTCATCTTCTGGCCCTTCATCCACAGACTATTGTCGTTTTCTTAATGTATTTCAACCGTCGATTTCCACTCACTTTCGTCCCCTTCTTCAACCTGCTTCAATGGAGACATTACCAATCAACCACCATTTTCGGCGACTTTGTCACCGAAATTAAACAAAAACCCAAATAATTAGAGGAATAATAAAGGGCATGGTTAACAACCCTAAATGGTAAGTCAGCTATCCCTCTTTCATTGTTTTATCCATTGAACTTGCTCATGAGCAGCTTCTAATTGCGAAGCTCCATTGAAGCTCCTTCTAAGCTTTATCTCTTCTTTTGGGCTCCATTGAAGCTTTTCTTCTCTTGCAAATTGAGCTCACGTGCGGCGTCAAGTTAGTCAAATAACATGGACTAATTGCCAATTGTACAAGAAGTACAAATAAATAATATTTAATTGTAAAAACACTAATATTCAAGCATTTTATTTACGTATATGCAAATATGCCATTTGATTAACAAGACAAGTTTATCAAGATGATAAAATAATTCATACCGGTACAAATCTTGTATGACAACAATTTGTGAAGAGAATCTTTCATCCAATTAGATCACTAGAACATAGTACATACAGTAGTACAATCATCCGGCCCAATAACATAAGATACTTGTAAATGAACATCAAGAACTTGGGCTATTTGTAGTACCACTTTTTGGTCATTTATTAAATGAGATGGCACAATTTGTTCTTTAGGTACAATATGGCCATAAAACTCTAATGTTTATATTGTACAATTTTTTTTAGTATCGAAAATTAGTTGTGACTTTACCCATTAAATGTTCCTCATAGACAGCTTGTCCAAGTTTTTTGATCCCCCGGTCTTCTGTACACAAATGTCCAAAGGCTCAATTGTTGCATCATAATTTGGCTGTGAACACGGGCATAACATCATATGTTCATTTAGTTTTCACAGAACAAGATAGAGAATAGTACAGGAGATGTAAAAAGAGTCTAACCTCATAGAAGTAGGCAACACAAACACGATATTTGGGAGACTTGTTAATGACCTGATGTAAAGTGGACTCGTACATTCCATTGGTAAGAATCTGCACAAGGCTACGCATTCAAATTTGATATAATAGATGTAAGATGCCATGACCACAAATAACAAAGAGAGGGCAGTATACCTTCAACATATCGCCAATGTTGCAAACAAATGTCCCAGAAATTGGAGGAGCCCAAATCCATTCTCCTGAATGATTCCGAACCTTCAACACACTTGAGGTGAATCCAGAATAAGTAACACACAAACAAGAGATTAAAATATGAGCTGGGAATTTAATTAAGAACTATGTTAAGTCTACAGGTTTGAAAGGCTGGTCTCTTATATACTAAATGTACCCGTAGTGCTGTTATGCTATCATCTTGATTGACGAGCGTCAGAAGACCTGCCGAAAGTCATATTGAGATCAATACCATCACATAAAAGCCACAAGTCTTTAATCTTTGTAAAGAATAAACTTACCATAATCTGTATGAGCTCCACTGAGGTTTTGTATAAAAATTGAACACAATAACAAAACAAAGACATTAAACAGCAAAGAATGAGAGGGGAAAAAAAAAAGAAGCAAGAATCCAAATTATCCTAATAGTTTACCATCCAATGTCATTTCCAAGTTCGCTATGCCCATTTTCCCTCGAGATCACAGGATAACCAATCAAACGCATGACCCAAAATGGATCGCCTGCTATACGCCCTTCTAACTCATTGACTGATCCACCTAAGGCTAGGGAAATACCTTGGATAATCTTCCTAGAAAGTTCTGTTGTTGTGCCAATAGAATGAAAAAAAAAACCTTGGTTATTAGATCGAATACAAGAAAATACACAGTTTTGGTCTAGAGAGGAGAAGTATGACTGTATGAGATAGAAAACATGCCTGTGCAAAGGTCAGTATAATGCTCCATCACTGCTTTAAAGTTCTGAGGCTTGGATGGCCTGCATTAAGGGGATCGGAGTAATCCATTGTCTTACAATACCTTGAGTAAGTGCACAAAGCTTAAAAGTTCAATATGAGCTGATGCGATATTTGTAATGGATCCTCAAGATTGTAAATGTATGACCTTAATGCACTACTCTGTACTAAAATACTCAAGTTACATGCACGTTCGGTCACTTCCACACAACACACAACCCGTTTGATTCCCAAATCAAAAGAAACATGGAGTGAACCAATGGTGTATAATGTCGAGATTAAACTTATATAAGTACTATCTATGCATTTGTCATAGAAAACAAATTTTAAATAAAAAACCATGGTGTTTGCACATACCATAAGTTTGGTCCTATCATTGGTTTCCCCATGTCTCCGTACATTCCGTGCTTCAATTCTCTGTATAACTAGAACAAAAAGAAAATTATGTTGAAGCAGCAAAACCTCCCATTAATTAAATAGCTATGATTCTCAAATTCAATGGTTTATCCACTAGGATTTTACAGAATACATATTCTGTTGGATAATATTCCTCCTTATTATTAGAATTTGCTAAAAATAAATAACGGAGAATTTAAAAGAAAGAAGAGAAAAAGAATGAGAGGAATAAAAGGAGAGAAAAATAAGGAGAGTAGTAGCAAAATAAGAAATAATCAATGGAAAATTATATAACGATAATTTACATCATTAGTTATTTAGATATAGGCTGATTATAAATATGTAATCAGATTATTTGTTAATTGAAATTTGAAATACAATTTGTATCACATTATTTTTGATAAATAGAAATACAATTTAAATTTGAGAGTATACCATCGAATATTAGTTTATAGTTTATAAACACTTTGTGAGTTAATCTATTATGTTATAGAGATATAATTGTTACCTATTTTGTTAATACACAAAGGGAAAGTAAATATTATTTCCGCTGCGGATTATTTGTGATCTTTTCCAACGATCTGGTATCAGAGCCGGTTACATATATACAGTTCTATAAAACAAAATGGAAGATTCGATGGTAAGTTTATCAGGAATGATTAAATTGACGTCATCCAACTATTCCATGTGGAAGTCTCGAATGGAGGATATCCTTTATTGCAAGGATTTGTATAAACCCATCGCGGAAGAAAATAAACCGAAAAGTAAAACCAAAGATGTATGAAAATTGGAGAATCGAAAGGCAGTCGAGCTGATACGACAACATATTGATCAAAGTACTTTTCAACATGTTACTAATGATACCAATGCCTACAAGCTTTGGAAAAAGCTTGAGTCAATGTATGAGAGGAAGACAGGTTTAAATAAAGCTACATTGGTAAGAAGGTTGGTTCGTCTTCTATACAAAGAAGGTGAAAATATGGCAGAACACATGAATTAATTTCAAGGTATTGTTAATCATCTAACAAATGTTAGCATGACAATTGAAGATGAAGTCCAAGCCTTATTACTCCTTAGCTCATTACCCGATAGCTGGGAAACTCTTATTATCTCGTTGAGCAATTCGGCTCCGAATGGTAAACTCACCCTTGACATGGTGAAAGATAGCTTGTTCAATGAAAAAGTTAGAAGGAAAGAATTTGCCTCCACAAATAATCAAACTGAAGCACACATTGTTGAAAGTTGAGGGAGATCGATGTTTAGAGGCTCCCAAAGTCAAGATAAATCGAAAGGCAGATCGAAATCTAAGAAGAGGTTCACTTGCTTTTATTGTCACAAGGCAGGACATAAGCAAAGTGAATGTCGAATATGGAAGAGGGACATGCGATCAAAGGATGACAAGAGTAGTGATAATGAAGACAAAAAAATGTCACGGCTACAGCAGTTGGTGACGAAGTTTATTTTGCAGGTGATGACTCATGTTATAACCTTACAAATAAAGATTGTAGCTGGGTGATTCATACAGGTGCTTCATATCATCTAACTGCAAACAAAGATTACTTCACATTGTACACTAGCGGCAATCTTGGCTTTGTAAGGATGGAAAATAATGGATCCTCCAAAATAATTGGTATTGGAGATGTTTGCTTGGAAACCAATGCAGGGTGTAAGCTAACTTTACATGATGTTAGACATGTTCCAGATATAAGGCTGAATTTGATCTCAGCTGGCAAATTGACGATGAAGGGTATGCGAATCACTTTTCTAATGGAAAGTGGAAGTTGTCGAGAGGCTCGATAATCATTGCTCATGGAAAGTAGCAACAAACCCTTTATGTCACAAATGGGAAGCTCAACACACAATTGAATGTAGCCGAAGAATGTTCTACCGAGTTATGGCATAAGCAGCTCGGGCATATGAGTGAGAAGGGATTGCAAATCCTCACTCGAAAGAAACTTCTTCCGTCGAAGGATGTTCATTTGAAATCTTGTGTTGATTGTTTAGCTGGAAAACAACACATAGTTTCATTTCGAAGAAATCCACCATCTAGAATACCACGTATTCTAGATTTGATTCACACAGATGTATGTTCTATGACAGAAAAATCTCTTGGTAGGGCATCTTATTTTGTCACAATTATTGATGACCATTCTAAGAAAGTATGGGTCTATCTTTTGAAAAGTAAAGACCAAGTCCTTAATGCATTCAAGGAGTTTCATGTAAAAGTAGAGAGAGAAATGAGCATGAAATTAAAATGTGTACGATCTGATAATGGTGGTGAGTATAGAGTTCCATTTGAAGAATACTGCAAGAAGTATGGGATAAAGCTTGAGAAAACTGTCCCAAAATGGCATTGCAGAAAGAATGAATCGTACGATCACTGAAAAAGTTCGTTCGATGTAATCTCACGCAAGGTTACCCAAATCATTTTGGGGGGAGGCAGTTAAAAATGCAGTTCATTTAATCAATCTTTCTCCTTTAGTTCCACTTGATGGTGAAGTTCCACAAATGATATGGTCAGGGAGAAAAGTAAATTATGAAAGTTTGAAGGTGTTTGGTTGTAGAGTCTTTGTTCATATCCCGAGGGATGAGAGATCAAAACTTGATAGCAAGACAAAACAATGTATTTTTCTTGGCTATCTGAAGATGAGTTTGATTATAGGTTATAGAGTCCTTCTGAAAGAAAGATTGTCAGAAATAGAGATGTCGTCTTCTTCGAAGATCAAACCATTAAAGACATACAAAAATTGGGAAAGTCTCCAACATCCCATGAAGAATTGCCTATAATTATGAATCCAGTTCCTTCCCCGAGTGTAGTTGATAATCACGGGGGAGATGTAAACCAAGAAGATCATCCTCACAGCATCGACGATGATGACGAGGATGATAATGAGAATGTGGAACAAATGACACAATAAGAAAGTCAACCGACATCACCATTAAAGTTAAGAAGGTCTAATAGAGATAGACGACTTCCAGCAAAATTTGCAAGTGGTGACTTTCAGTTGCTTACTGAAGGTGGAGAGCCAGAGTCTTATGAAGAGGCTCTAAGAGATGTTCACCAAAAAGAGTGGATTGAAGCCATGCAAGACGAGATAAAATCCTTGCATGAGAATCATACATTTGATTTGATACAGCTTCCAGAAGGTCGACGACCACTCAAGATTAAGTGGGTGTTCAGATTGAAGACTGGAGAAAATAATCCGCAACCAAGATACAAAGCAAGGCTGGTTGTGAAGGGGTTCAGTCAAAAGAAAGGTATTGACTTTAAAGAAATATTCTCATCGGTGGTGGAAATGTCGTCAATAAGAGTTGTACTCAGCATGACAGCATGCATGTATTTAGAAATTGAACAACTAGATATGAAAACAACTTTTCTACATGGTGACTTGGAAGAAGAAATATACATGGAACAACCTAAGGGATTTCAGGTTGAAGGAAAAGAGCACATGGTATGTCGTTTGAATAAGAGCTTGTATGGTTTAAAACAAGCTTCGCGTCAATGGTATCGAAAATTTGAATCCTTTATGAAGGATCATAAGTATCACAAGACGACATCAGATCATTGTGTGTTCATCAAAAGATTTGCAGAGGGAGATTTTATTATTTTACTCCTCTATGTTGATGATATGTTAATTATTGGCCGCGACACCACTAAAATCGCTAACTTGAAAAAGGCGATGAATAAGTTCTTTGCCAAGAAAGACTTAGGACCAGCAAAACAGATACTAGGCATAAAAATCTCATGTGACAGGAAAAATAAGAAGTTATGGCTGTCACAGGAAAGATATATTAAGAAGTTACTTGAGAGGTTTAACATGCGTAAGGCTAAACCAGTAAGTTCTCCACTTGCAAGTTATTTTAAGTTGAGTTCTCAACAATGTCCTACAAGTGAGAAAGAAAGAGAAGAGATGAATAAAGTTCCTTATTCGTCTGCAGTTGGTAGTTTGATGTATGCTATGGTCTGTACGAGACCAGACATTGCCTATTCGGTAGGCGGTGTTGTCAGTAGGTTCATCTCGAATCCAGGGAAAGAACACTGGAAAAATGTAAAATGGATTCTAAGGTATCTACGGGGAACATAAAAAATGTGCTTATGTTTTGGTCAAGGAGATCCTGTTTTAAAAGGTTACACAGATGTAGATATGGCAAATGATGTTGATTCGCGAAAGTGCATATCAGGCTATATGATGACTTTTGCAGGGGGAGCTATATCATGGCAGTCAAGGTTACAAAAATGTGTTACATTATCAACAGCGGAAGCTGAGTATATTGTTGTGACAGATGCTTGTAAAGAGCTATTATGGATGAAGAATTTCCTACAAGAGTTAGGGATTAAACAAGATAAGTATACACTTTACTATGATAGCCAAAGTGCTATTCATCTGGCGAAAAATCCTACCTTCCATACCCGTTCCAAACATATAGGTGTAAGGTATCATTGGATACGAGAAGTCTTTGAAGCCAAACTGTTGCATTTGGAAAAGATCCATACCGACCACAATGGTTCAAATATGATGACAAAAACATTGACCATGAAAAAGCTTGATGTTTGTCGAGATGAAGCAGGTTTATTAATAATCTCCTAATAAGTCGGAAGGGGGTGATTTGTTGGATAATATTCCTCCTTATTATTAGAATTTGCTAAAAATATATAAAGGAGAATTTACAAGAAAGAAGAGAAAAAGAATGAGAGGAATAAAAGGAGAGAAAAAGGAGAGTAGTAGAAAAATAAGAAATAAACAATGTTTGCATCATTAGTTATTTAGATATAGGCTGATTATAAATATGTAATCAGATTATTTGTTAATTGAAAATTGAGATAGAATTTGTATCACATTATTTTTGATAAATAGAAACACAATTTAAATGTGAGAGTATACCATCGAATATTAGTTCATAGTTTATAAACACTTTGTGAGTTAATCTATTATGTTATAGAGATATAATTGTTACCTATTTTGTTTATACACAAAGGCAAAGTAAATATTATTTCCGTTGCAAGATTATTTGTGATCTTTCCCAACATATTTTTCATAAATTTTTTATAGAATTAATATTAAATCATGGGACACTGGCCACACTGCCACAATCAAATGATCCATAAATTCGAAAACAACCAGTATGAAAAATGAATCCTCCGATAATCACAATATTCAAAAAGAATGAGCCCATTGAGATATAGGTGAAACAAAACAGATTATGTATAGCATATTCCAAGATCAAGTAAATAATATTGCCCGAATGCCGCTCCCCCAAAACAGGAAACACATCAATCAGGCACATCAACGAGGGATTATAGAGCACTGACTTACATCGATAGCTTCATGCACATCAGGCACACCCTTGGTTATATTGTCTCCAACTTCTTGATAGCCTCTGCATTTTAAGATTCAAAAGTAGTAAATCTGAGTGTAGCTCATCTAGTCATCTTCAAAGTTCAAAAGAATAAGTATATATAATAGGAAAATAACCTATATCCTGTTGCAGCAGATAACTTGATCTCGAGTTTTTCTTCAAGAGGAAGGTCAAAAAACTTACGGGTGACTTCTCTGACTTCCTTTAAAAAGGAGTCTGGGATGCCATGGCCTTTCTAATCAGCAAAAAAGAGAACCATTCAATACTATATTACAAGATTGTTTGTTGTAAAAACAAATTTCCTACTCCCAGTGATAAAATTTTACTAACATAGTGCTTATACAAAAAAATTGGTATTACAATTCCTAATTTTGGTGCATGTCATAAAAAGCCAGAAATTCATTTCAGCAAATACATGGAGTTTAGATGTAGTGCCTGTTGGAAATTTTTGATGAGGACAATACATAATTGTACTTTACATAGAGTTCAGTAGTTCACGCTATAATCATACGAAGTACATAATTGTTTCTTACACAAGGATCATTAGGTTCATGTTGAAAACTTTAGCTCATCTTATCTGCAATCACACAATACGACATAGTAATTACAGTTCCCTGGATATTATAAGGAATTAAGGAACATCCAAGTCTTTGCCTTGTAAAATCTACTCGAGGAGTATTTACGAAATTTGAATACCACAAAGAAAAAGCACACGAGGAGTATATACGAAATTTGAATACCACAAAGAAAAAGCACTCAAGGAGAATATACGAAATTTGAATACCACATAGAAAAAGCCAGCCTCTCTGCATGCTATATCGAGTTGTTTCACAACCTCACATACACCAGCATCCTTAGCCATGTTTGCATCATCAGATTTAGCAAGCAGAGGACTAACATCTGCAATGTGTCAAAGGCAAAAAAATCACTGAAATTCAAATTATGATGACACTTACACTTGGATATGATGATTTTTCTACCACTTTATTTTCATAGGCAACTAGCAGTCTAGCATAAAGATCATTTTGATGGGATTTCCTAGTTTGATCTAATTTCAATTCAAATTAATTGATTAAAGTTGTTTCTCCCTTGTAATATACCATCTCAATTACTCTGTGCATCCGTTCCACAAAGTTCTTATCGTCATCTTTTTCTTGATCACACAACTTTAACCATTAATATCTTTAATTGGAATTTATGTACATGTTGCATGATATTGTGTGCTTTACACCTTTACCTTAAACATACTTACATAGCAAATTTTTTCTTTTTCTATGTATGATTCGTGAACGATGAATTAAACTTTGTAAAACAGATGTACACCCAAAAGATGGACATGTGCACCACCATTGAAAATACAATATATAGCATCTCAATTAGTATGTGATTCATTTCATATTAATAAAATGGTTTCCTGTGTAAAATTTAAATCGACAATAATCCTTACAAAAATTTCATTCATATGACTGGAGTTACGATACACGAAGTAAATAAAAACCAAAAAAAAAAAAGGTAAATTAAGATAGAAAGCGATGAGAAAGATTGGTGAAGGAATATACCTATGACGGGAATTGATTTGAAGTCAGTTGCCATTGGATTATGCTTGAAACGTCTTTCCTCTATCTCCGCTGCTGAACGCTGGTTATGTTTGTAAACAAACAATTACTCAATATTATTTGCGAGGTAGCAAACATTGCACGTATCGACAGCACTCAGTTATTCTATCTACAATCGGATGTACACGTCATCGTCATTTTGCGGATAATTTAAGTTTTTTTTAGGTTTTTAATCAATATACTTATCTTTTTTCTCACTTAATCAATACCTCAGTCGTCTTTTAAATTCATCACTTTTCTTTATAATTATACTGCCTCGTTTCATATTATATTTAACAAAAAAAATATTTTGTATTTGTAAATGATATATAAAAGAGGTAGTAGTAAATTCTTTACTCCCTAGGAGTATTAGTAAAAAAAATAAAACTTAAAAGGACCTAATAATAATCCTCTCTTCATTTAACATTGTTATATGGATTTACTAGTATATTTATTGTAGCAACAAAAACTTGGGAAATGAGAGAGTTGATAGAAGGTAGGTTTTTTTTTTTTTTTTTTTTTTTTTTTTCTCCTCTCTCTTAATCACTAAGCGATGACAATTATTTTATGTTTGAAAGAAAAATTAAAATTGAAAGTAAACGAGAAGCACATCTTAACAGAAAGTAAGAGTATCAATGGAAAAGAAAAGGAGTAAATGTTACGAGTACTTTATTTTGGTGTGTGAGTGTATGGCAGTTTTTTCATTTTATTACGTTTGTAAAGTAAAAAAGACATAGACCCTCTTTGATAATTAGTTGTTAGCTGGTTGATATAGTTTATTGTATTAACTGATTTGACTAGCTGATTATATTAGATGATTTCACTAGCTGATTGTAAATAACTGATTGTGTAAAAATATTTGGTAAATAACTGTTTATTATTAGCTGTTTCAGTGTATTTAATACTAAAAAAAGCTAATTGTTCAATAAATTAATTTCAAAAATCTCTTATAAAGAGCTTTTTCTAAAAGAGATTTTTGATCCCAAAAAACTCTTTTAATAAACTATTTACCAAACACCAAAATTAGCTTTTTAAAATGGTCAAACCTCTAATAGTGTTCAATAAGGTAAAAGCTTTTTAAAAATCACTTTACCAAACAAGGCTATAGCTCACAATGATTCACTTTTATAGTGGATTAACAACTTAACACTTTTATGTCAAAAAACATAAAAAATACTAACAGTTGCAATGGAGCCAAAGAAATTATAAGGCAATGCTACTTTATTTCATGTCATTATATAGTGGAGCTGTGGAGGTGGTCTAACTGTTGGAACAAGTGTGTTTTGGTGTAAATTTTGTGGAAAACAAAAAGTCCCACATTGGTGGGAAATAGAAGTTTGTCCTCCCTTATATTGGAGAATGTGGAGTATTTGGGTGTGGCCCTTGGGCTACCCACATTTTGTGGAGAGGGAGGACTTACCTACCAAGCCCACTTATCACACACGCGCGCCGAACCGAGCCGGGCTGGGCTGGGTTGAACAAGGCTTAATTACGTAATTAGTGCCTTGATTTTTGCTAAACGGTTTTGACTGGTTATCTCTCTAACGTTTATTTCCAGATTAATTAAACTTTGGCCGTTTTACTAGCTGTTTTGACTGGGTAAATTAACGTTTTAATTGACCGTTTTTGGCGTTAATCACGCTGGTGTTGGAACGGTTTTTGCTACCGTTATACCATTGTTTTGCCTATAAAACATCATGTTATGTTCACTGTTTTTATATAACAAAAAATCACAGAATTTTTCTAATCCCTTTTTTCTCTTACAAAATATTCGAGCAGTGTTCTTTATATTTTTTGGTGGTTAGTTGTCCACTGGTTCTGTGCAAATCCACTGGTATTTTCCTTGCTTAGACAGACTGTTTTATCCTGGGGAACATCCGGTTGTTGTACGATCTGCTTGCACAAATTAAAGGGCAGTACCGTGAATGTTCTAAAGAGAGCGACATAGTCCGCGACTCAGTCTAATTTCCGGTCACTTTGTTCTGTTTTTATTGATTACAGCAGTTCGGTTTATAACACTAACTTTGAAAGATTAGAAGCTAGAAAATTAAGTAACTTTAGTCTACTTTGATTATCTTTGTAAACTTTGAACTAACTTGTAACTTTTGCTTTACATATTGCTCAAGTACTCATAAAAAGTGCACGGTTGAAAATAAATTGCACAAAGTCGAGGTTAAAAAAGGTGAGACTTGTGTCTCATTAGCTCATCATAAGGATACAGCTAGCCATATGATCACACGACGTGATTCCTTCTAGAGTGAGGAGCAATTTAAAGTAATACTCCGTACTAGCAAAATAGCAGACTCGAATGAGAAAGACGTGGAGTATGATCACATCATAGACATAAACACAAGCGAGTTGTGTATTACTCTCTCAGTTTTTTTTTATTGCATTATGAGCCTATATTTTGTGAGAACTTTTTGGATTAAATAATGCAAATAATAAGGGACGGAAGGAGTATTAACACACTAGTTTAATACTCCAAGGTCCCAAACACTACATAGTCCTTAGTGTTTGTTTGCACTTTAGCTTGAGTAGCGGTGGACTAATGCAGTGGTGGTGTGTTTTTTGGCCCAACATGACTCTACATTAAAGACTTTAATTAAAGTAACCAATTTCAAAATCAAATCAGCTTTGTGGTAGTATGGATTTCAAATGCGTAATCCTTGCAAAACAGTGCATGTTTGAAAAAGGCTAGTTTCTAGTTTAGTGTAGTGCAAGTGTTACCAAGCTCTACTGTTGTCATCCCCATGTGACCCCTCTTAACAATTTCAGTCCCTTCCAAAAACTGTTTTCCGCCAGCTGCTCTCCTCAATCGGCTCTTTCTGTTTCCAACCTACAAACTCTCACCTCCTCCCAAGAATCCCAACATTAACACTCCAATTTCTCCAACTCAAAAGTACTCGCTTCCCAATTTTTTGTTGGCAGTACTAGTAACTTGGACACTGTCTAGTCATCTACTCCGTGTAATTAGATTTATCTCAATGTATTTTCAAGATCTAATTTTTCATACTTTTACAAATTATTCTCCTACGGAGTAATATTAAAGACATTAATATAGAATAGTGTACATTAATTAATGTGTCAGTCAAACTATTGCAACTAATTTTAAAAGGAGTACGATATTTAAAAACTATTACTAAAATATTACTCTCTCCGTCTCATAATACTTGACGCAGTTTCCATTTTCGTCTATCCTGCAATACTTCGACACGTTACTAAATATGAAATGAGACTACTAATAAAAAAATATTTTCTCACATTTTCTCGCTCCTCACCTACCCCACTTCCACCCCACTTATTCTTTTCTTACAATATAAAAAAACAAAAAAAAAAAAATTTATATATTAAACAAATGTTTTAAATGGACCCACTTGCGATTTTCTTAAACTACGTGTTCACCTCAACGTCCCAAATATTATGGGACAGAGGGAGTACACGTTGATATCATGATTGACACATTTAGTTTCTTATGAAAATTTTTCTGGCTTAAATTATTTATAGCATTATTTTTTTCTCTTTAGTTCCAAAACTAATTTATACATACACATTTTTCAAACAAAGGATAATTACCATTTTTTTAATTTTACATAACAAAGTACTCCTTCCCAAGTTTGACTCATTAGAGGTTTATAAGTTAAATTTAAAAAACTTTGACCATAAACTATCACAAATCTATATGAAATAAAGTAATCATATGCAATTTTATATTATTTTTTCATATATAAAAATAAAAATATTTTTGTTTTAAAACACATCATAAAAAGTCAAATGAGACAAATAGATAAAAGAATAGAGGAAGTACCGATAACATTAATTTATGCATCAAACATGCACATTAGTATAGGACGAGAAATTCTTCTGAGTGAGTGAGTCCCTACACCCCACACTTCTCTGTAATCTGTACTATCATCTTCCCTTCCATGGCTTTATCATCTCAACATTCTGAACCTCATCTTTCTCTCTCCTAACCTTCCAATGCACTCTCTCACTCTCTTCCTTCTCCTCCTCCTTTCTCTCTCCTCCCAAACCACACCCCAACCACTCGCCCTCCCCCCAAACGACGCAGCCTCCCTCTTATCCTTCAAATCCAAAGCCGACCTCGACAACAAACTCCTCTTCACACTCCACGAACACTTCGATTACTGCCATTGGCAAGGCGTCAAATGCCAACAAGCTCGCGTCGTCCGCTTCTCCCTCCCTAACTACTCCCTCCGCGGCACTTTCCCTCGCAACACCCTCTCCTCCCTCGACCAACTCCGCGTCCTCGTCCTTCGCAACAACTCCCTCTTCGGCCCTCTCCCTTCCGACCTCCACTCTCTCTCCAACCTCCGCTCCCTCCTCCTCGACCACAACTCCTTCTCTTCTTCCCTCCCTCCCTCCCTCTTCTCTCTCTACAAACTCCGCGTTCTCGACCTCTCCTTCAACAACTTCTCCGGTTCTCTCTCTCCTCTCTTCCTCCTCCTCGACCGCCTCACTACTCTCAAGCTTCAGTTCAACTCCTTCAATGGCACTCTCCCGGAGTTCAACCAGTCCGCCTTGGTCTTCTTCAATGTCTCTGGTAATAACTTCTCCGGGAAGATTCCTGATACTTCTACTCTCTCGAATTTTTCTCCATCTTCGTTTTCGTTGAACCCTAATTTATGCGGCGATATTGTTAACAAACCCTGCGATTCTCGCTCTCCTTTCTTCGATTCTTCTTCTGCTATGAACCAACCTTCTTCGTCTCCTCCGAATTCGTCAACTGGTTCCGAATCACTCCTATCTCCTCCAGCAATGAAATCACTCCGGAAGAAAACAATCATGATTCTAGGGTTTTCATTAGGCGGTTTACTCTTATTCTCGTCATTGTTCTTCATGTTTTTAGCTGCGAAGAAGAAGACGACGATTGCGACGATTCCGAAAACAACCAAAGATTTCGCCGAGAATTCTTCTTCTTCCGGCGAAGTGATGACTGAACAATCGGAAGTAATTAGGGTTAGATTTGATTCACAAAGCAATGAATTAGAAGATGATAAATGTAAGAACGAAGAAGGAGGTTGTGGTGGTGGAGGGAGGAGAGAGAAGAGCGGGAACCTGGTGTTTTGCATAGGAGAAGCGCAACTGTACACCCTAGAACAGCTGATGAGAGGTTCGGCGGAGATGTTAGGAAGAGGAACAATGGGGACCACGTACAAAGCGAAGCTGGATAATCAGTTAATCGTGACCGTTAAAAGGCTTGATGCGATTAAAATGAGCGGTGTTGATGCTGAGATGTTTGAGAGGGTTATGGAAATTGTTGGAGGTATGCGTCACCCGAATTTAGTACCTGTTCGAGCTTATTTTCAAGCTAAGGAAGAAAGGTTGATTATCTATGATTATCAACCTAATGGCAGTGTCTTTAATCTTATTCATGGTATGATTTTCAACTTATTCTTTTTATTTTGTTGTTACGGAGTATTAATTAATTTATGCATTTGAATGATTTAATTAGGATGTTTGTCTGATTTGTTGTTATTGGAATCATAATTATTGTTGTTGCCACCATATACTTGTATATAGAATACAACTACTTTGTATTATTTTGTTTGTACGAGGGGTGTTGGACTCTCGTATCGGGTCGTTTATACATGTATAAAAAGATCAACGTGGTCTGAAGCTTAAAAACAAATATACGTTGTAATTTTAATGATTTTAATATATAAAGATGTGCATAATCTTGTCATAAGAAATAAATTAATACTCGTACTTTTGGTGTGGTCATGTGAGAGCTGTGACGAGTCTGACGATAAAGTTTGTTAGTTTTTCTTAAATTATTATACTCGTTGTATTTAATAATCTGTCATAAGCATACTACAAATTTAAAATTTTGTAAGGTAACACAGGTGATTGGGATGTCTCGTGACTTAGAAAGTTGAGAAAGTTAGATAGTGGGAGGTGGTATAATCGGAGAGGACTGACAACAGTTTTACTACTAGCGTTTTGATTAGAACTCGTAAATATCAATGCCTAGTGCCGATGATCGCGCTTCTCTTTTCTGACTTGTTTGTCAATTGGGTTCCTAAATTTTATTTTTATATACAAAGTATATTTTTATGTACACACTCCATATATCAATAAACAATAGTTTTGCATGGCTCAACTATTATGCTCCGTATATATACTCTCCTTCGAGTGAGTCCCCCTTATTATTTTAAAAAGTCCAGTATATTTACTCGAGTCATTATCATTAATCATTATGTAGTTAAATGGAGACAATGGGGTATGTCAAACATACTCTGTTCGTTAAGAGGAAGTCAGGCCCATTTGGATGACAATCAGTCTTGTTCGGACTGTCTTTTGTGCATTCAGGCAAAAGTTACCCTAGTGATTGTGTGATTGTGTTTGGACAATCAGTCTTATTTTAAAAAGTCCAGTATATTTACTCGAATCAATAACAATTATTGTGCTCATATGTGATTGTGTTTGGACTGTTACGCGTCACGCAAATTTAACAATGCAAATATGTGGTACAATTGCTACTTGAGTCAAATTTTATATTAACAGGTGGGCTGTTACCTGTTAAGCGTATTGCTGTAGGTAAAAGGTAGTAAGCTAACTGTAAAGGTTGCAGAACAAGTTTTGAGCAATTGATTTGGTAGCTACCTTATATCTTTCTGATTAGCTGAATAATGGAGATGTTCAATATGTGTGAGAATTGCGGGGGGAAAAGTTCATAATTGGTGGAAAATTGGCACTCATGCAAGGTCTTCTTTTTATCCCATAAGCTATGGTTTCTTAGTATAATGTCTAAAGCTGATTATATCTCAAGTGTAAAACTTTTGCTGTGGAAAGTTGCATTTATTAGCCAATATTCTAGACTGACCAAAGTTTGTTAGGTTTTTATCAGATATCTCTGATTATGTTAGAAGTGAGTACAGTTTCAGCAAAATCTTTGTCCAACATATAGAATTATAGACGTTTTTTCTGTCCAAATATTTTGCACTTATACTGATTTTTAAGGTTAAGTCATAAGTGAATCTTAGGCTTTAAGCTAGCTTTTTGTGGTGTTCTATCAACGACAACATGAGGTATTCTTAGCAAAAAGAGCATTAATGATTGATCTTATCAAGGAAGTCCATAAGCTATGATTACAGGCCACACAAAATGTGTGGTCCCTTCCCCTATTCTAATAAAATATTTAAGTTATTTTTGAAATAGGGTCTTACTCCAAAAAGTTAAATCATAATTGGGGTTAGTTAATTAATCTTTCTCCTTCCCCTTAGCTTGGTTATGCTTTTACATGAAACCAGTAATACATTGACATCTTGTCAATCTGCCATGCAGATGGTTTTTCCGTTGATCTTAGAATAGCTAGTTTTTCAGAGTGAAGCTGAAAATTTGATTAAGGAATATAACCCAAATGTGAGAAATTTCAATATGAAAATCATGTGTGAAAACAAAATAAGGGCGGGTTGGCTGTGCTATTGTGTTGTTTTGTTCCAAACAAACAATTTATTGCTAACAGCCAATTAAACATCAATGTAGCAACGAAAAAGTGTCAGTTGCATCACTGGATATTGGGTCCTATTTTAAGCTCTAGCTAGCAACATGTTAAGCAATGAGCTAGCAACATGTTAAGCAATGAAGGAAGTGAAAGACATTGATTAATGGAAAAAAAAGGACTGATAAGTTAGTATAAGGGGATAGAACTGAATGATTACTATCATGATTGAGATAAAACATCAAGCAATAGTGCTCATTGGTAGTTCTGCCCCTATAGATATACTATGTGGTCTATAATCTATATCAGTATATTACGATTGTAATGCCCGTTGGTATTACTGTCCCAGTAGATGCTAACACAGTTAAATAGTAATTGAAAGTTTAACAAAAAAATAATAATAAAAAAAAAGATAATAATTGCGTGGCGTAAAGCTGCTCATGCAGTATATTTTGGGACACAAATTCTAATAGAAATTGTTTATTTAACATACTTCAAGCACAACCAGATTTAAACAACAAGGCTAATGAACTATTGAACCTTCATGTTCGTGCATGCAATCAACTTATTGGATAGCGGCCTAGGAGTTCAGGTGCTTGCCTAATTTTCTTAGGTTATTTTCCGTGGAATAGGAACTTAGGAAGTGAAAGGGTAGACTGATTGTATTGCCTCCATTTCCGATAAAGATGACTATGCCATTATCAAAGCTGGTACATAAGTAGGATAAATAGCAAATGAAATCAGAAGGCTCTTTTATTTATTGAAGACTCAATTCATTGGCTTGATCAGAAGAAAGGTACTTAATGCAAATGATTAAATCGTTGACTCAATCCTAAGCGCATTACTGTAATCGACTTGAAGTCTATTTGGGGATCATCTGTTTTGCTCTTCTCCAGTTGTATGCTGATGTCACTTATGTTTCTGACCTTATTATAATTGTGGATTTGTATCTCTTGCTTCCTCTCTTAGCCATGAAGTGTTTCCAATGGGTTGCTCCTTGTGATCCCTTTGAAGTTTTTTTTTGGGGACCATCTCTTTTGCTCTTCTCCCCTTTTATTTTGATCCTCTATATTTTTGTGGCCTTGTAAAGCTTGCTGTGTGGTACTTTTGATTGGTGAAAGTATCTATAAAAAGGAAGGCACTATGCTGAATATTTTGTGACATTTTGTGAGATTTTGTTCTGCTGTTTTTATTAGGAAGCATGATAAAATTATTTTTGTGCATTTTGAAAAATGCAATTTAAGCATATGATGGCATTGATAAGATAAATAATGGATAGATCAATTTCCTTTACTGTTCTTATTTTTTCTCCTTTACTGAAGTTGTTTACTGCTCTTATTTTTTAATACTGGTATATCATTCTACTCTTGTGAAGTGTAGTGCTAGTAATAATGTTGCTGATAACTTGTGAAGTACATGCCTCACCCTCAACTGTGTTGGATTTTGCCTGATTTGGTTTTGATGAGACAGAAATCAGAACTTTCTGTTGGTCTATTTTGTTACTTATAGTTGCTGGAATTCTACAGGGTCAAGATCAACGCGAGCAAAACCTCTTCATTGGACATCTTGTTTGAAGATAGCTGAGGACGTAGCTCAAGGCCTTGCTTACATCCACCAAGCATCCAAGCTCATCCATGGCAATATCAAGGCCTCTAATGTCCTTCTAGGCACAGACTTCGAGGCCTGCCTGACAGATTACTGTCTTGCTTCACTATCAGCATCTTCTTCTGATGAAGATCCTGATTCTGCAAGATACAGGGGTCCTGAGGCCCGGAATTCAGCCAGGAAGGCAACTCCTAAGACAGACGTCTATGCTTTTGGTGTTCTTGTGCTTGAGCTTCTTTCAGGAAAACCCCCCTCTCACCATCCATATCTTGCACCCCATGATATGCTCGATTGGGTGAAGTCAATGAGGGGCGATGATGACTGCTTTTTAGACAACCACCTTGCAATGCTCGTTGAGGTGGCAAGTTTATGCAGTTTGACATCTCCGGAGCAAAGGCCCCCAATGTGGCAAGTGTTGAAGATGATACAGAAAATAAAGGCCAGTGTTGGCTCTGATGATACTGTTGATTCCACAACAGGATATTCATAGTGTTTTATACGAAGTAACCATATCTTTAGGCGAAGTTGGATGAGCTCGTGGGGCAAACTGCGGACTGATGAACTATAGATCTGAAGAAAGTCGAATTGCAGAAAAGCCTATAACTGAAGAGACTTTGACATCCAAGGGGGTATGTATTTTTTGCAACGACAACTCGATAAGGTCAGTAGTGGTTCAAATGTTGGAAAATATCAGACATTTTGATGAGAAAAGGATCGGTAATACCAGTACAGAAATGAAATGATAGGTTACACAGCCTTAATTGTCAAAAACATTAAACTCCCCCACCCACCCAAAAGAAAATGGAAGAAGTGTTGTTGAATAATTGAATGTATTAGCATCAAATTTTGATTTAGGTGTCAAATTTTGATTTAGGTGAGGCGTATTTAATGATTAGCTATTAATCTGTAAGATTGACTGATGAAAGCATCCTGTATCTGCATTTTTGTACTTCCCAGTCGGAATAACTGAATATGATATGATATTCAACACATTTGTCTATGAAACTTACATTTAAGTGGAGTTTAAATATAGTTCATGTTAAATTGTTACTTGTAGTGCTCATCTTTATTAACAATAACTTGTGGAACAAATTTAGTTAAGTCGATATTCTCAATACTTGTATCAAATGATGAGCGTCTAATATGATGGTTTGTCTAATGCTGATTTGAACCAGGATGGACCCTAATGAGAAGAGTCTGTCCGTCAATGTTGCATCTCCATTAAACTTTTAATTAATCAAAGGGTGTACGAGTACTTTTAAATTCCATCATGCTTTCATAATAGTCTCCAACCAAAACTAATCATAAAAATGAAAGGAGTTCAGTCAATCGAATATCATGGGCAAATTTTCAAAGCATGGAATATTTGATATTCGGTACTGAAAATTAGATAATACACTCGGGTGCACCATGCTCATAGTGCACCCGGGTAAACAAAAAAAGGCGGAAAGAACATATAGTGTTTGATAAAGAACATACCAATGTTTGACAAAGAACATACCTTTAATATGTTCTTTGAGTGTGATCAGTGTATTCTTTGAGTAAAATTATATGTTCTTTACATTATAACTTATGTTATTTAACATATGTTGATAAACATTTATGTTTTTTTGGGTTTAATAATACAAAGTATGTTCTTTGAATTTGGCGTGTATGTTCTTTAAGGTCGTAGTGATGCCCAAATTCTACTTTTATTATCATATGTCATATTTAAATTACTTTTATTATCGTATATTCTTTGAGTTTGATTAGTGTGTTATTTAGGTATTAACTATATGTACTTTACAATATAAATTATGTTCTTTTAACATATGGTATTTTGAAATTTGATATTGAAATCTTAAATTATTTTTAATTGAAAATAATATTAGAGTAAAAAAAACTAAATTATTATGGAAAGTTGAATTTTTTTTGGAGAGATAGAAAACTATTTTTTGGGGAAATGATATCTTTGGTAAGGATTTTTTAAGAGGTGATCAACATTGGCATGACTCGCATCCCGACCCGATCCGGCCCGAAATAGGGTGGGTTTGGGCAAACCTAAAAATGCATTTTTAGTTAAAACTCAAATCGGGTTAGAAAAAAGCCCGAAAACCCGCTACTTTTCTACGGGTTTGGGCACGATAAATTATGATATGGCCCGACCCTACTAGATTTTTTATCACCTCTAAATTTTTTCCGTTAATAATGTGTAATTTTTCAGAAAATTTAATTAAGTTTTAATCTCGTTCTTTTTATTATATCTTTATGTTCTTTGGTAATGTATGTTTTTGTCAAATACAAACATGTTCTTTATCAAGTACATGTATGTTCTTTATGAAACACAAGATGTTCTTTCCGCCTTTTTTTATTTATCCGGGTGTATGATGAGCACTGTACACCCGTGTGTATAAACCACGGATTATTCGGTACAAAGAATATTGTCATGGAGTAGTTTTGTCGAAAAAAAAAAAGGAATTTACTAATATAGTAAGAGGCATTGAGATAACAAGAACAAGTCCACTTGATCACGTGAAACAACCAAGTAGCGTAATTTCCACGCGAAAGAGCGTCCAAGTATACTGGTACCCGTCCAAAAAAAAAAAAAAAAAAAAAAAAAAAGTAAAAGTCTACAGCTACTATCCACTAAAAAAAATTAAAATAAAGTGGAATTTACTTAATTTATGGACCGACAGTTGACTTGAAGAACTCATACAGTAACTTCTGAAAAAAAGTACTCCATACAATTTTATTTAGGATTATTTATTATTATTATTATTATTAAAATTGGTACTCGTATTATTTTATCAGCGTGTATTTTGTATGGCTGGTCACACTGACCTCTAACTGAATAACCCTTAACAAAGTAACTTCGTATAGCCAGCCACATATTAAATTTACAGAGTATAATAAGTCCTCTACTCTTTATTCAATAACCAAATCAATTGGAAGTAGGCACTGTATTTTCTCATAGATGATTGATTGGATTGTACATGCACTCACTTATGGTTGTTTATAGGCATTATAGCCTTTGGAGAAAATGGATATGGTTTAGAAGGTGTAAGTATTCAATTATGATGTATACCATGATGAATGTTTTAATTGGTACTTTTTAACTAATAACTTTTCTCATACCCATTATGAAAAAAAATTATATGTATTTTTTCCGGTGTGAATGAGTTGCAAGTACATTACATTAGGGGGATGTATCATACCCTTATTCAATGCCGCTAAGTCAAGATTTTATAGGTAACATAAAATTAACCCCACACAAGTACACACAACCTATTCTATTAACCACATGGAGCTCCTTTCCTCCTTGTTACCGTAGAAAAAAACTTGTTACCAATTACTGTACATAATAGATTAGAATAATGTTCGATTGTTCATTTTACGAGTAGCAATTTATTACGATATGATAGTCCGTATTTTGTCACACCATATACTCTCTCTGTGCTCTGTCTCTTTATTTTTGCTCCAGTTGACTTTGCACGGCCTCCAAGACACGTGTTAAAACGTTTATATTTCCATTTTCATACACGTAAAAATTGTAAAAAGTTGATATTAATCTAAGTGACAATGAGACGAATCAAACAAGATCTCACATGACTATATTCCCTTTTAAAACGACGGAAATTTATGGTTAGATGGTGCAAAAAAATAGGAACAAAGAGAGTATCATAATGAAAAAATACAGAAATGACAACTCTCGCTCTAAAATCTAGTCACAAACAACTAATTTTATCTTTAAACTCTCCCCTAAGTCAAATTCAACAAAAATAGAAGATAATTTTATCAATTATTAATGATATAATTACACTCTAATTAAATAAAAATTACACTCCCTACCCTAGTTGATAAACCTCTTGGATTGTTCTCAAAAAAAAAAAAACCTCATGGATTCTTATTAACCTTTTTAAATTTCCCAAAAAAAAAAAAAAGATAATTTTTTTTAAAAAATGGTGAAAACAAATCTGGACCGTACAAAATGTAGAGGTTAGCTAATAAAATAGGGTCGACCTTCCAACTTCCAACAGAAGATTAAACAAAAAAAAAGGTCGTGAATTGTGCCTCCCTTTCTTTTTGCCTATTCTTGTTGTTGAGAGGAGAGAGAAAATCAAAATTAACAGTATTCACTATGTCTGGCGGCATTGCTCGTGGTCGTCTTGCTGAAGAACGAAAACAATGGCGGAAGAATCATCCCCATGTTTGTCCTCTTTCTATTTTCTTCCTTTTTGTTTTTTTTTTTTTTTTTTTTTTTTTTTTTTTTTAGGGTTGATTTTCGTTTTTTTATTTTCTGATGATGAATTATTTTTAATTTTTGTAATTAGGGTTTTGTGGCGAAGCCAGACACTCAACCAGATGGTTCGATGAATTTGTTGATTTGGCAATGCATCATTCCTGGAAAAGCTGGGGTAAAACCCCTTCGTCTTCCTGTTTTTATTTTTTTAATTTTTTTTTACTTTCTGATTTTAATTTATATATTTTTGTTAAAAATCAATTGAATTGATTCCTCAATTTGTATTTTGTTTCATACTTTGTGAAATTTGAGGAAGATTTTTATGGCATTTTTTGGGAATTTTTCGCTGTTTTATTTGGCAATTGATATTTACAGTAGCGTATCATAATTTGGGTTATAATTCATGATTTTAATATGTTGTATGTTAATTTTTTATTTAAGAAGTGAATTTGTGATGTTAATTGTGGAAAAGATGAGTTTGTTGAGTCTAATAGTTGGATGTTCACCCTATGAACCACACCCTTATCATCACTGGAGGTTTTTCAATAGGTTTGTTTGATTTTGGGTTTCATAGGATCACAGTATATGGGTGGTTACTGCCCAATTTTCCAAAATGTTTATCACCGCCGTTGTACAATTACCATGCCACTTCACTCAACCTTTCATCAATTCATTGTAAAGCTTGATGGCAGCTCTTTGAGTGGAGCTGGTGTGGAATTTCAGGTTGAAGGGAGACAAGTGGAAATGTATATTTAATGACCTGCAATGCCTTTGATGACTATATCCTGATCTAAATCCCAAATCATAGGATGTTGAGGAGGACAGTATAGGAAATTAGGGGTTGAAATCTTAAAGGACCGCTGATCTTAAAGGAGGAGATGGATACGGAAGATTTGAAATTAGAAGGTGATGACAGATTTGGTTTCCTACGTATGAGAAAACAAAGAGAGTGACAAAGTGGTTGGTTGAGTGGATGGTTGTTTTGGAGGGGAGAAAAATAGATGGAACAAAAAGTGATGGAGGAAAATGGACCTAAATAGATGATCTACCCTTGCAAACGATTTACGTCTGGTTGTTTCTGGCAAGTAATAAGCTTCATCTTTGTGCTTGCTTCTTCTGTATTAGATATCATTGCCTTAGAATACAACATCAATATTTGGATTTTCATAGGTGAATACATGAGGTGAATCCTGCAAGTAACAAGAGTGAGGCGGCATTGCAACATATAAAAGTGGAAAGTTCAACTAGAGCAATGTACTTTTTGTACGTATACACTCTCATCAGATATCTGTCAAACACACCGTTATGAAGGGATTTATTGGCTTGCATCACAAGTCATAGGAGCATAGTTCCTGAATATAAAATCTTTGAACTTCTTATCCCTTAACAGAACAAACATAGTGAGTTAGTGACACTGAAGGGCATATATCCTTGAATCGTTGTATTTCATTTCTTCGAGAGAATCCAACCCTGTCCCGCAAGTTAGTCCTTTAACCTTGCCGGAAAGTCATTGAACCCGTTTCTGAAGGGATATTAGATCTTGTAGACACCTGTGGATCATTAAAGCTGTCATCAACTAAGCTCTAGCTCCATTTTTACATATTCACTGTCCTAATGCTGTTGGAATATGTATAATTTTTTTGAAGGGTTTGCACCTGTTGATTTATTATTCACTGTCCTAATATTTAGGTTTGCACCCGTTGATTTAATATTCACCTGTCTTAAGAAGGGTTTGCACCTGTTGATTTAATATTTTTGAAGGATATTTGGTGTTTTACCATTCCTATGATTGATCTTTCCTATGTTGGAGGAATACCTTCCAGGAGGCGTTATGCATTCTTTCAATATTTTTGTGTTGTGTTTTAGAAAAATTATAACCTTAAATTGAGAATTATTCTCTTTCATCTTAAATTCTTCGTTAGCTTAAACGGTTTTTTTTTTATTTTTATTTTATTTATTTATTTATTTATTATTATTATTATTATTTTTTAATTTTTGTTACGGTCGTTTTTTCCTTTTCTATTCAGTCAGTCTTCAACGAAACCTTCTTCCTTGGCATGTGAGTTGTGGCTTTCCGACCACGTGTTTGCTGTTTGTGAACTTCTCATTGGTTATTTATGTGTGTATATGAAGATTGCTGTAGTTGGCTAGGTATAGTTGATAAAAATTGAGATACGCCATTCTTGTACTGCCTTTTCTTATCAGAGCTTCTATTATTACAGACTGATTGGGAGGGTGGCTATTATCCACTGACTATGTATTTTTCTGAAGAGTACCCCAGCAAACCACCTAAGTGCAAGTTTCCTCCTGGTTTCTTCCACCCTAATGTTTACCCATCTGGGACAGTTTGCCTATCGATTCTGAATGAAGATTGCGTGAGTATTGATATTCTTGATTCTTGTATAGCTGATTATTTGATCTCTATTAGTATTTCTGGTTTTAATGTCGCATTTTCTCTCATGCTAGGACTGGAGACCTGCAATTACAGTGAAGCAGATACTGGTTGGCATTCAAGACTTGTTGGACCAGCCTAATGCTGCAGATCCTGCACAGACTGAAGGTTATCACCTTTTCATCCAGGTGTGTATATTATCTACTTTGTGTGTCTTTAGACTTGAAAGATTAAATAGTTTTTGGATGAAGTCATCTGGTCTATATGAAAGCAAGTGAAAAAAGAGCTTATGTTACTGCAGGACACAGCAGAGTACAAAAGAAGGGTTCGCCAGCAGGCTAAACAGTACCCAGCTACCATTTGACAATGGACTTCATACTGGTAGAGGATAGTTGGTAGTCGTATCGTAACTCATAAGGAGTGGTAATTGCAATTCAAGAGCTGTCCTTTGTCTAAGCATTATGTATAAGTTATGACTTATGTTCATATGTAGTGATCCTGGTAGTCCTTATTTATGAACGTTGTTTGGAATATTTTGTTTCCTTTTGGTCAAACTCTAACACCTTTTACTATGGTGAATGCTGATGGTCTGTGTGGTTGCCGATTGGATTCGGGGATATCATGATATTTTGTGTTTAAATGTGATTAAACATGTTGGATCTGCCCTCAATTAAAAGTGAAAGATATTCACTCTCTATATTTTGCTGTTTCCACATATGAGCCTCATTTTGTTACTCTTGAATCATGTTTATCTTTACAGTTCAGTTCATCCTTTTAAGTGGATGTATGTATGGTGCTTTGGCCCATGAGCAGGAGTGCATCGATGAATGCAGCAGTGGTGCAAAACAGGAAGTATTTTCATACATGCAACTGATGCAAAGTGATGGTAGATTCTATGCTTGTATTGTTTGATTTACTTATCAAACACCCCTTCTGCCTCGCAATGCTCTCCGTTTTTCATTTTTCAATGCCTCCGTATACTATCTCTCTCTCTTAGTAGGGTTCCACCTTATAGAATCAATTATCTCTTCCCATTCTGTTTAATTTGTACATATAACTGGTTTAAAATTGTGGTAGTTTGAATTTAAAAAATTCAGTATTCGCATCCTGAAATTCCGAATTTGGCTTTATGCTTGTACTAGTTTTATAAAAATAAATGATGTGTAAAATTTTGTTAGATTAGGCTAAATGTGTTTTTTTCAATTTATCTTCTTTTCGCAATTGTTACTAGTGGAAAAAATAAAAATTTAATGGTTGTATCACACTTGTGTGTTGAAGATGTAATACTTCGTCTTAGAATATCTGACACAGTTAACAGGGTACACATGTCAACGCACTAATTTGACTTTATTTTTATATAATTAAATATTAATGAAAATTATTTTAAAAATTATATATAAACTTTATATTAATAACTATTTAACAACAAATTTTATGATAAAATATGTTTTTATTACTTCCTCTGTTCTTTTTTTACTTGATCTGTTTTTTTTTTTATTTTTTATATCACGCTTGTCAATGTAAAACTTTAACGATCAATAACTTTAATTCTCTATAGGTAAAAATTATAAAAGTTATATATTATGATAGTATTTATTGAGATGAATCTAAAAAGATTTTACATTAACATGTTTTTACTTACATATTATTCACAAAAGATAGTCAAATGAGGGGTGGTGAATAGTGTAAAAGTCAAAGTAGGTCAAGGAAAAAAGAACAGAAGAAGTATGTTAGACCACTCTCAATGGTGAGCAAAAAAAATGCCCACCCACTATCTCTCTACCCACTTTCTCTCTCAACAAATCTGTTTTGCCCATGGGCAAATTTTTTTCACAATTTCTCTCCCAATGGTGAGCAAAAAAAATGTTTGCTCACTACTCTCTCTCTCTTACTTTTTCAATACCCCACCATTACTTTCTCTCTCCTACACAACACTTCTTTATTTATTAATTTCATTTATATTTTAACAATATTACTCCAAATAAATAAAAACTAGTCTAAATTTGTGTAACTAATTATTTTTTTTATTTGTGTCGTTTTTATCGTTAAAATAAAGAATATGGAGGATTTATGGTATTTCTGAAATTATACCAAAATATACCAAAATGCATGTCTATTTATAGATAATTAAATTTTATGACTGTTGGTAATTTTAATTTTTTTTTTAATAAATATTTATTTCAGAATTTGCATTACAAAAGATATAACTATTGCAAATTGTGGGGCCCACCAGAGCACTATTCATCTTAAAAAATGCTCAAGTCTTGGGCATTTTCAAAAATGCTCATGAGCATTTTTTGGCTTTTTCTCATTTGCTCACCATTGTAATGCATGAGCAAATTTTATGCCTACCCCATGTCCACGAGCAAATTTTTAGCTTACCATTAGTAGTGCTCTTAGTAAAAAAATATGGTCAAAGCTAATACATAAATATTGAAAAAAGTCCAACGTTCTACATATTATGGGACGGAGGGAGTACAAACTTACAAAGAGAAGCTCTGTTGGAGTATTATTAAGAAGCAAAATTGTCGTAAATGACTTTGTACTTTGTATATGTTGTAGTCTCTTTTCGTTAAAAATTGTCTTATTTGATTTTTTATTTGTAAAAAAGTACTCTTTAATAGATAAGATTAGTTTTTTATTTTGTAAAGGATTCTGTTTTCGGGTCAAAGGATTCTGTTTTAGGGTCAAAGGATTCTGTTTTCACACGATCAAACCATTTCCTCCTCCCTCTAAGAATTTTATGATAGAGACATAATTAAGATACTTTAAGATAGAGACATGATAGAAGCTCACCTAAACCTTAACTTGGAGAAGCTAGGCAAAGCTAGGCTGAGCTTCATACAAAGATTAAGTTCTTACTTTTTCTACTAAAACTAGCAGTCTTCTACCTGTGGAATTTATAAAGATTACATAACCTGTCTTTTCATTTCACCAATCTCATATCACTAACCCCATTTGATTGATAAGCTCTCACGAACGACGGCGAAATGGGGGTGACGGAGGAAGTGCTTTGACAGCTATTACACTGCCTTAGAACGTCTCGTTTTCAACTCATCGAGGAAGGCCACTAAGTTAGCCTGAGATGAACCACCATTCTTGACAGCCCCGTTAGAAGTTTCGCTAAGCTTCTTTGCTCGTTGCCTCATCTCTGCTGCTCTCTCGCTATTGTCCATCACAGCTCGAACAGCCGTCTCCACTTTTGCTCTGCTTACAAGCTCCTTTCCAGTGTCTTCTAGATTGCACCACTGAGTCACCCCCACAGCAACACCAATCTTCAACACATCCACCACCAACCTCTCATTGTAGAACTGCTCCGCGAATTGCGGCCACGTTATGATTGGTACACCAGCAATAGTAACCCCTTCTAGTAAAGTGTTCCACCCACAATGTGTTACCATCCCCCCAATAGCTTGGTGTTTTAATATCAACCTTTGTGGGGCCCAACCTTGTATAATGAACCCCTTGTTACTTGCTTCCATTTTCTTCCTGAACTCATCAACTGACCATTGCTCATCTTCGTTACCCCCCTCTGTTTTCTCTGCTTTCTTTCGCTTAACAGCCCAAATGAAGTCATGGCCTGATGATTCGAGCCCAGCCGCGATTTCCTGAAGCTGATCATCAGGAAATAAGGTCAGGCTACCAAAACTGATATACAACACTGAGCTGGCTTTCTTCTGGTCTAGCCAATCTAGGCAAGTCTTCCAACAATCAAGCTCAGCCGAGGAAGCCTTGCCTTCTTCCTCCTTGTTGCAGAGGAAAAGCGGACCAATGTTCATTATCTTGATCCCAGTGAGGTTGTTGTAGCATTCTTCATACTCCTTTTCTGCTTCACCAAAGGTGTTAGCCAACACCCATGAGCTCTTAAGTCCGGCCTCTCGAACGACATCCATCAAGTAGGTAAATCTGTTTGGGATCCGTACCCATAAAGGGATCTGAGATTTCATCATCTCTATTTTGTGAGGCAGAGAAGGTAATGTTACAAAATCATCATCTTTTTCTACTTGTTCATGTGGAGCATTGAACTTAACACAGAGATCACAACATGAAGAGAAAATGCTGCTAGTCAACTGAAACACCCTTGGGACCCCGATTTCAGCAGCGAAATCCGAGGTCCAAGGGTGAAACATATCAGAAACAATGCAATCTACAGGCAGTATATCTCTGATCAAGTCTTCAGTTGCATTACAAAGCATATGAATGCCAGTGAATATTTTGCTTCTCATATCTTCAGAAGTGATCTTGCTAAAGTTTTCGATGCCGGGAGGGAGGCCGACTTCGGCTGCTGGAAAAGGAAGGGAATGGATTGTGAGAGGTGGGTTGTTGGGTGAGGTTTGGAAAAGAGGAGCATTAGCAGGGGTGGTGATAATGATGCATTCAACACCATGAGAAGCTAAAGTTTTGGCAAGGTCTGCCATAGGAAGTATATGCCCTGGTGTTGGGAATGGAAGGAAGATGATTTTCAACTCCATTTTTTCTGGTGAAGAAAGTAAACAACGAAATAAAATGACTAATGTTTCACAATATCAAGGTTTTTTGAATAATATTATGTTCTGTTTTGAGGAGGGTTTAAGGTTTGGTGTCTAGTAAAGTGTTACTCGTATATATAAAAAACTAGGCACCTGTTGTATTTACAGGAATAACTCCTAATCGGTATTCGGTAATATAATATGGAGTATTGTTTGCGTAGTATACTAGTATAGACGAACTTGCGCGAGGGAAACGAGTAGCAAGCTTGCAACATTTAGAGTTTTTGGTTATTTTAATACAACTTCTTTATAGTATTTTGGCGAATAACTAGGGTATATGTGTAATGAGGAGTTGAGGACCGCTATGTTGGGCGAATGGGCGCAATAAGAGTAAAAATAAAATAAAATTGGAGTGTATTGTATGTAGGAAGTATATAATACATCTATGCCGAGTAAAACAAAACAGAATTTTAAGCTATGTGAAAAATCCCTCACTAATCAGGTAGTCGGAATCATATACTTTGTCTCTTAACTATCAATTTATTTGGCTATGAACACACCTCTCACTGAACTAGTCAAAGTCATCATAAGTCTTTATTTGACCGACTAGTAGGAATGCATTCCTCGGTAATACGATATACTAGAGTATCAAGATATCAAGAAGATAAACTTGTAGGAGATATAAGATAGTATTTTGTTAGTTGTTAGCATAGATTATCCTTGCGGGTATAACATGTATATATATCTGTTTCGGGTGAAAACAATGGGACCTTGCCGAAGGTCCGCTGAAATGGAGAAGGCTGGATTCGGTCCGAGTTATGTTGGGCCGAAGGTTTCCTGCACAGTAAACACACGTAAACTAGCCTCGGGGGTGTTGCCGAGGAAGACCCCTCCGATGCTAAAGTCAGTACAATGTGTAAGAAGAGGACACTATGCAAGAGAGTTTGTTGCTTGAGGCTTTTATGGAATATATCAGAATATATGAATGAACATATGAATCTATCTCTCAATGAATAATAATCATCCATCAATATATCAATATTGATGGCTTTTATACCTCGTCATACATGGAGAGGTTGAGCCTTAGCCCAATTGGCTTGCTTTGTGGGCTGACCTTTGACTTTAGCACAATTGGAGAGTTGAACCTTGACCTTGGGCTTTTAATTGGATCATTTAGTGCTTAGGCCCAATTGGACTAAATTGGACCCAAACAACTTGCCCCCCAGACCCGATTTGGAAGGATGACGGGTCGGGTTTGATTTAATTCAGAAAAGGAGGGAAGTAAATGATTTAATTAATCCAAAAATTTGAATTTAAACCGTAATTAATGAGATAACAACGGTTAAGGCAGATGATTGTGGAAGTTGGACGGATAATGGGCAGTTTAATCACAAGATCATGTGTTTAACGGTTACTTAGTGGAGTATTTAAGAGAAATTAAAACGCAGACTCCTCGTATCCCATTCCTGGAGATATAAACAGAGGCGCGTCATCTCTCCTCACTTATTCACCAACACAAACCCAGAATTCTCGAGAGAGAAACCAAGAACCCGCATCAAAACTTCGCAAATTCCCCGAGCATTAAGCTTAGAAACTGAGACTTGCCACTACGAACTCGTAAATCGGCAACTTTTGCTTCAGATTAAGGTAAATTCCTTTGATTTCAGTTTATTTTTCTTCGAATTCGAACTCCTTCCCCTTTTCTTTCGACTTTTTTCTTCGAAATAATCAATGGCAAGACTAGTTAGAGGTAGAGCCCGTGCTCCAAGAAGAGCAAGGCCGATTCCCGATCCTAGGAACAGGATTGGGACCTAGAATGGACAAAGGCCAGAGTCTGACCCTGCTGAAGGGATTAGGGCGACTCCCCTTTCCTCGGCTCCTCCTCAGAGAACGGAGGAGCCGAGCGCTTCTGGACGGGATGATGAAGTTCCCGCTGTCCTTTGGGATATCCTCCCCGGGTTTTCAGAATGGGAGAATGCCGAAGTTGCTTCGGCCATGATAAAGAACCGCCCCTACCCATGGTGGGTGGAGAATGCCGATCAATATCGATTTGCCGAGCAAATTGAGTTGCATTACGGCATTTTTGAAGCTGATGGGTATTGGTGCCGAATGCCCTCGGCATCCGATAGAATCCATCGTCCACCCCTGGGGTATGTGGGGGTGTACACAAGACAGCTTCAGTACGGGCTGAGGTTCCCTTTGGACGTATTCGTTCGAGACTTGCTGATCCATTACAACATCTCTCTATGTCAGTTAACTCCCACCAGCATCCGAAGGGTGATGACATACTTATGGGTCTGCAAGTTCTTCAAGTATGTGCCGAACCTGCACTGCTTCAAAAAGCTCCATCGGCTAGTGCCAAATATTCAAAGTGGGCACGGAAGCCATGGTTCTGGGTGGTACCGGATTGAGTCCCGGCCCCAATACCTAACCATGTGGCCAAACGACTCTTCAGACAAGGACTGGAGAGGTCAATGGATTTGGGTTAGGGCACCCACAGATCCGGGCCACCCTTGCGTCTTCAGCGCTCCCCGGTACCTCGCTGAGCCTGATCCCGAAATGGGAAGTCTAGGTCCCCCCGCAGATAACGGGGCGGATCCGAACCTTGATCAGCAACATATCTTCGGCAAGCTGCCGAACCGGGGGGGCAGTGGCCGAATGCAGCATATCCCGGAGACTTGGCTCCCCGATACGCATTACGTTTTCCAAGAGAACATGCTAGCAGCTGTTGGCCTCAGCCGAAAGTTTAAGGATGGTAAGCTTCTTCGGCTGGGGCCGAGGCTTTTTAACTATCTCTTTTTCTTCTCTCGCTTCGCTTTTTTATGCTGTGCCAACCTATCTGAACTAACCTTTCCCCTTTCCTTTTTCAGAGCGGGACGAGACCAACGTTGGCATTAACTACGCTCGTCTTGGTGTCAACCGAGAACGAGTTGTAACTGAACGGGCCCCGTCTATCACTGAGCCGAGGCATAGGGAAGTTCATCTAGACTCTTCCCACTTCCAAATTGAGGTTGTTGCTCTGTATCAGAGGCAGAAGCCTTGGTGGAAGAAGAGAGACCCCTGGTTTCAGCTGCTGGACGAAGAAGCTGAAGCTGCCCGTACAGCCGAAGAGGTTGCACGGGTTCTCGAAGCTTGCGAAGGAGGAGAAGGGTCCTCCAGAGCTACTGAAGCAGAAGCTGCAGCTAGAGCAGCTGAAGAAGACGAGGCTTTGCTGAAGACCTCGGTGAGCTTTCAGACTTAACTTTGTCTTTCTTTTTTCTTTTCTTCTTTTTTTTTTTTTTTTTACTCACATTCTTCCTCCCCCCTGTCTGTTACAGTCTGAAGAGAGTAACAGACATAGAGAAGGGAAAGCTCTTGTTCGTCCCGAAGACCAAATACAAGGAGAGTCTTCAGACTCAGATATGGACGAGCAGCCCCTTCTGAAAAGGCGCCGAAGGATGGCCATCATCGGCCCTCATGACTTTCAGCGGAGGCCGATGACCATCGGCGTTGCAATAAGGGAACCCGAGGAAGGCAATGGATCGCCGAGGGTTCCCCGGCCACCACCCCAATCACCTCAAAAGACCCCTCCGCCACCTCCTGAGATGGAGGTGGATCAGAGAACTCCCGAATCTAAGGGAGCGGTCCAAGAAGAAATTAAGGAGAGTGCTGCTGAGCAGGAAAACAAGGATGCCGTGATGTCCAGTGCTGAGGGCTTCACGGCAGACATCGCAAGAGAGGTTGAGGCTTTCGTCCTCACCCCTGAAGAAGAGGAGGTCATAGTAATTGAATCCTCTGAGAAGGATGATGCTGAGCCATCCAAAGCTAATCAAGCTCCATCGTCATCCTTCCCTTCCTTCCAGACTCTGCAATCTGGAGAAATGGGTTTCTCGGCCCCCCGAATTCCAATCCCAGACCACATCTGGGACCTCATATGGGGTCAGAACCGAGAAGGAGCTGCAGCCTACTTCGGCGATTTTGCTGGCATGTCCGAAGTAGATAGGGCAAGGATCTGGTCGCTGAAGGCCACTGCTGGGATGGGCGAATCCAGCAGATCAGTTCCTAACCCAGCCAGGTCTAACCAACTGCTGATGATGCAGGTAATTTTCCTTGTCTTCATTTCCTCTGAAATTCAGCTCTATTTTTATTATTATAAATATATATATATATTTTTTTTTTTTATTTTTTTTTTTGTCTTCTTGTTTTCAGTTCGTGCACAATCAGAATCTCACTGTAGAGCTGATAGATACCCTACAAGATAGGGTAGACGCTGCTGTGCACGACAAGAAGGTAGCTGAAGAGGAATTAAAGCTTGCTAAGCTGAAGCAAGCAGCAGCTGAAGAGAAGCAGCAGAAGGGTGAGGAGTATGAGAAAAGAGCTGCTGAAGCCCTCAAAACCTTCTGTGACGCTATGGAGAAGGAAGTTTTTCCCCCACTGATGGAAGGGGAAAAATTCCTCCAGGAGCATATGGGAGTGGACGTCTCCAAATTCAAGGCTGCTATTGAGAGCCGTATTCAGGAAGGAGCTGCTGCACAAGCTGAAGTGCAGCAACGTCTAGAAGCTCTTGAAGCCAGCCGAATGGCTGCTGAAGAGCTGCTCCAGGCCAAAGATGTCCAACTCTCAGAGGCTGCTGCTGCTGCCGAAGCTCAGAGAGCTAAACTCCATGAGGCTGAGGATCAACTGATGACCAAAAAAGTTGAAGTGGCCCAAGCTCAGACAAAGGCTTCCCAAGTTCAGCAGGAGCTGAATGAGCTGAAAGGTTCCTCCTCCAAGCTCGCTGATGAGCTGAAGAAATCCAAGGAAGACTTGGAGGAGACCCAGAAGAAGCTGGCTGATGCTGAGGCTCTACTCAAAGTCCGTGTCTATACCCAAGAGGAATATGAGATGGGTTTCAGAAACGAGTTCAGAGTATGCCGAAGAGTCTGCCTTCATGCTGAACCGAAGCTGGACTGGTCTAAATGTGCTGAATGGGTCCAGAATCCCGAAGACCCTCATATGAAGTATGCAACTCCAGTAGAAGCTGAAATTCTTAAGGGTGAGGAAGCCGAAGAAGAAGCTGAGAGAATGGAGTTGGAGGCTGAACAGAGGGAAAGGGAGGCTCGGCAGAGTGCAAAGCCTGCTTCTTCTGCTGCTGGGGC